AACTTCTCTGAAATCAAACTTTTAAGGAGAAAACGTATATACCCACATCATTCCTTCCTTCTGTCACTTGCTAGCATCATCTGAGGACAAATTACAGCGGCTCCTGAAAACACATTGCTAAGCACCTGCCAAGTGACAGGCCCCATGGCAGCTCAGACAAGACCTCGCCTCGGCCTGCCAGGCTTCCAGCCTAGGAGGCACACAGACAGGACAGGCAGTCCATGCAGTGTGACAGAAGAGAGGGCACAAAGGGCTCTGGGAGCAGCACGGGGGAGCACTACACTGCTTAGGAGAACAGGACTTCAAACCAGGAACATTTTAGTAAGTGTGTAATGATCTGCTCTCTGGTTAAGACAGGCAGTGGTGATCCAGGCAGAAAAACGGGCCGGCGGAGAGACCCTGGAACGTAGCAGAGCTTGGCCCAGGCACTGCAGGGCTCTGGCCGGCCTGGATACAGCGTGTGCCGGGAAGCGGCAGGAACCTGTAAAGGCTGACTTTGGACAGATCACAAAAGCTTTTCTTGCTCTGCTAAGAAGTCTAGCATTGCTCTACAGGCAGCAGAGTGCTCTGAAGGAGTGTTAAGTCTGGGGGAGATGTGGGCAGACTAGAAGAATAAAGATAAATATTATCAATACACACACACAGACATGGATAAGGGGCATTGTATAGACTACAGACTACTGTACAGACTAGAACAGGTAGGCACCTCAGTGTATATTGCATTAGACAGATGAGACATGATTAGGGTCTGACTCAAAGAAGGGACAAGGAAGCTGGCGAGGAATGATCTGAGGCATGTAGGACACGTGGTCAGAGCGTCTGAGTGAGAAGAGAAGGTGACTTTCAGGCTTTCGGCTCGGTCCCTAAGCCGGCCGCCAGGTTTGCCGGTTTGCCAGAGGACCTCACAGCACTCGGTGGACAGTCACGTCCCTGACTGTGACTATTACAATGAGAGGGCACAAGGGAAAATCAGAAGGGAGAAAGACACACGGAGGCAACGTCCAGAGGAAATAGGGGTGTGTTCGTCTAGTCACATGGGACGGGTTCGGCGCTGAGTTGCGGTGCCCGAGGTTCGTACTGAGGACAGCTGGCGCAGGGATCCTCTGCCTGCACCTGGGACAATTCCAGAGTGTCAGATGGAAAGCAGGTGTTGTACAGCAACAACACTGCTTGTACAAATGGCTTAGGTACACTCAGCTACACTTGATAGTTTGGGACCTGCAGGAACACTCCTGAAATCCACGTTCCCAGACACCAGCCAAGGGCCACCCTAAGAAAGCCTGTCTGAGAGCAGCCCAGGCCCCCTTCTGCACCATCAGTATGACGACAGAGGCCATTAACTAAGACCTGTAAATTGAAAAACAGTATTGCCTACATTTCTGAAGATTTGAAGGGAAAGAAATATAATCATTTCTCCTAGGTTGATGTTTTCCAACTGAACATCAAGTCAATCACAGGGCAATCAATGAGTGAGTCGTAAGTAGAACAAAAAGAAATAGAAAAAAACAGAAAATATAGTACACTGCACATAGAAATGATAAATACTACTTTGGGAACACTTTTTAAAATTAATGTATTAAGATGAAAATATATATCATAAAAACAATGCATATTAAAATACACACGGTCATACACATGTACACACATGTACACATATATACACATCACATGTACACACATACATGCATATACACATCACACACATCACACAATGCACACACTCATACATATCACACACATGTACACATGCACACACACATCATAGATGCACACACACATATACACACATACATATATGCATCAGACACACACACAGAGTGGTCTGTGGTGTGAAATATATCTTACTTTACATTGGGGTAAAAGAGGTTTGAAAGTCACTGCTCTGGATTAATTACTTCCTACCCCTTTAAAATCTATGCTTGTCTATGATGCAACCACTTCTACGTGATCATAGTGGCCAAAGATCAGAGAGATTAAATGTATCACTGGGTCACTCAATTGAGGTTTGATTTATTGTGTTAGGAGTGAATGATTTAATTTTCCACACAAGTAACATATATGTTGACAACTGTAACAATGACCATACTATTAGTCACCTATCAGGGAATCATTTATACACTAAACACAATTTCTTTGAAAGTATCAGAGTTTCTTTAGTAGAAAGAAATGACAGAGTCCATGTAATATACGCCACTAGGAAGAGAACACCGCTACAAGACAAACCTCCAGGCATTCATCCGGATTCGTTTCTTCAAGTAAGTTCAGCTATTGGTTCCCAAGGAAACAGAAGATGAGAAGCGCAGCGTTCGAGGGGAGGAAACTGCCGCTGGCGCCGAGGGACCGAGAAGCGCCGCAGGACGAAAGGGACACAGGAGGCTGCGCGGAGTCAAAGACTCATGGCGTTCTGGGGCCGGCGGCCCGAGGACACGTCCACAGCGCTGTGCAACGGGCCCCTCGGAATCACAGACGGGCCAGATTAATTCCCCAAGAGCGGTACTGATCAGGGCCCAGCCAGCGCGAACCAGCCACGATTCCCACCATCAGCCCCATTTAGCTCGGCCTTAAACCTCACAACACCACATACACACATAAAGCCATTTTTCTCCGACTTTCTCTTACTGTGTTCTCAGTCACTGTTCCTCACGCTTACCTGGCCATCTACGTGTTGGGTGATGTTTATTACTTTATCTGAAACACTTCCTGCAGCCTCTATTTTCCCTCTGCAAATATCACCTTGTTAAAATGAATCTGTCGATGTCCACCGCAAACACCACTTTATGAAGCTCCAAGATGGGAACATTCTCTCTTTGGATCTTCATCCAGCCACAGATGAGAAAGCGCTTCCCACAGTGCTCCACTCTGCACAGTGCTTCAATTCTAATGAACTAAGCTGAATTCCATGCACACATACCACAGGGAAGTAAAAATAAACAGCCACCTAGTCTGTCAACATAGTATCTTACAGGAAGGGTATTTGTACTCAGAGAAAGATAAGCCAGCAACACTTAGCAGAATGCCTACCTGACACCAAATAGTGATGATGAGGTTGATAAAAACAACTACAGCCAACATTTATTAGGAAAATACCATGGGTCAGGTACGGATCTAAGCGCTCTGCATGCAAAACCTCACTTAATCCTCAAAAGAACTTTAAATTGGTTATAATTATCATCCCCATTTTAGACATAAGGAAAACAGAGTTTGGGCAACTTGCCCAGCATGACAGGGTTAGATGTAAATATCATCACAATTCTAATAAGACAGTTTGACTCCAGAAACTGAGCTCTAGAAGAGATGAAATATTTTATATATTGAATGTTATGTCTTACACCCCCAAATTTACTTATTTGTTATCAAAATATGAAATGGGAATCTTGCAAGTAATTTTCCCAAAACCTCTTTTAAATTATTTCTTTCTTAAAGGCAGGTGATTACATACTGTAAACAAACCAAACAGGCTGAATTCCTTCAGGATAAGGACTGTGACGTATTCGTCTTCACACTTTGAGAGTCTGATCTAATGTCTGACACGTAACTTTGCTAAAATTATGGTAAATGAAGGATCACATGAACTAAATTCAAACCCCATCTATTTTACTTTTAAAGTTCTCCTGTGTCCTCACTAGATTCTTATATTGCTTTGGTTTCCCAAAAGCAGTTTTTGAAAATGCTCCTCAACAGAGTTCCTCTAAAATGTGTAGTGAAGGATCTGAGCAGTATCTGTGGGCTGGTCAATGGACCGAATGTTCTTGGGCTAGTAAAGCTAAAAGCTTTCCTATTCTGAGAAAAAAAGTGAGAAATAAGTTTCCTTAGAACATTTTTAAAGTGGATTTGGAGAACCATATTTTTAAATTATATCTCTGACTAATCTACTTAATCACCGTCTACTTTATGTAACTATACAGTTTATTATAGCAGGTAATAAATGCAACTTATGTATGGCAGCTAGGCAAGTGTGAGCAACAATAATAACGTAGCAGATACACCTGAGCTTGAATCTGAGCTTGCCTTTCATCAGCTGTGTGATACTGAGTATCTCAGATGCGGTTCCACGACATAATGTAAAAAAGTGACTGGCATAAACATGCAATAAATGTCACTAGTAGTATTACAAAGAAAATAAGGGGGACGTCAATGAGACTGGAGGCACAGACATTTGACATCTAAGAATAAACTAATTCCAAATCCTTCCACTACTACTGGTAACTGTTAAACATTTGAATATATGGAGAAGGCTCCAAAAAAAGGAATGAAACTGCAGCACTGAAGCAAAGGAGCACGTTAGCACCTGAGGGACAATCCGCTTCTGGCTGAGGAAGGCAATGCCGCTCTAGGCAGGGGAAGCAGGCGGCAGGCACTCAGGCATGAACGAGCTTGTTTAGGGAGCTGTAAGGGGTTAATATGGAGACAGTATAAAGACATGCTGGGGAGTAACAAGTGCCTATAAAGATAGGAAACGGACAGTCACAAAGAGCTTCTAATACTCTGCTCAGAAGCATTAACTCTTGGATCCATCCTTGCTGGATGCTAATAACTAAAAGAAAAGAATGTATTATAAACTGAATCAACCAGTATTTTCTAACTCATGTTATGTGAAAATGCCCATTTTTACTTAATGACAAAGGGGCTCCACAAATTTGATTCCTCATAAGCAATATTTTGAAAGTATGGCAGAACATGAGAACTTAAGTGATACATACCTTTTAAAAAACATGGAAGAGAAAGTGATTTTTCCTACCTGCTTTCTTGGTATTACTTTTATATTTGCACTTTGGTTTTACTTTCACATGAGTAAATGAAGTCAAAGCGGTAAGACTTTCATCCTATAACACCATGGAAATCCCAGCACACATCGTTTTTCATTCATTGTGCTTATTTTTAAGTTCCCAATCAAAGAACATGTATCAAATGATTTTTGTGCAACCCTTTTCAACAGAGCTCAATTTCCCAATGACGGTAGAAGTCCCAAGCAACACTACCATTAGCTTCTAAAGGCATACCTAGGAGAGCCGTGAGTTTGGGGAGCAGCCCCACTTGCACCATCTTATTCCTCAGTCCTGTGTCAAAGGACAGGTTCAGCAAAAGTCGGAGGGTGATGTTTAGCAGGTCTTCGTGTTCACAAGGTATCATTTTTACCAGTTTTTCAACAATATCCATTTCTACCTATGTAAAATAATAATATAAATGCAGTGAGGTTCTGTTGCAAAATAAGACAAAAAGGATTACAAATAATTATTTTTCATTGTTTTACCCTTACGTGTATCAATTTTATAATTACATGTTAATCTATTTACTCTCATTTTAATCTATAAACTTCTCTGAAATCAAACTTTTAAGGAGAAAACGTATATACCCACATCATTCCTTCCTTCTGTCACTTGCTAGCATCATCTGAGGACAAATTACAGCGGCTCCTGAAAACACATTGCTAAGCACCTGCCAAGTGACAGGCCCCATGGCAGCTCAGACAAGACCTCGCCTCGGCCTGCCAGGCTTCCAGCCTAGGAGGCACACAGACAGGACAGGCAGTCCATGCAGTGTGACAGAAGAGAGGGCACAAAGGGCTCTGGGAGCAGCACGGGGGAGCACTACACTGCTTAGGAGAACAGGACTTCAAACCAGGAACATTTTAGTAAGTGTGTAATGATCTGCTCTCTGGTTAAGACAGGCAGTGGTGATCCAGGCAGAAAAACGGGCCGGCGGAGAGACCCTGGAACGTAGCAGAGCTTGGCCCAGGCACTGCAGGGCTCTGGCCGGCCTGGATACAGCGTGTGCCGGGAAGCGGCAGGAACCTGTAAAGGCTGACTTTGGACAGATCACAAAAGCTTTTCTTGCTCTGCTAAGAAGTCTAGCATTGCTCTACAGGCAGCAGAGTGCTCTGAAGGAGTGTTAAGTCTGGGGGAGATGTGGGCAGACTAGAAGAATAAAGATAAATATTATCAATACACACACACAGACATGGATAAGGGGCATTGTATAGACTACAGACTACTGTACAGACTAGAACAGGTAGGCACCTCAGTGTATATTGCATTAGACAGATGAGACATGATTAGGGTCTGACTCAAAGAAGGGACAAGGAAGCTGGCGAGGAATGATCTGAGGCATGTAGGACACGTGGTCAGAGCGTCTGAGTGAGAAGAGAAGGTGACTTTCAGGCTTTCGGCTCGGTCCCTAAGCCGGCCGCCAGGTTTGCCGGTTTGCCAGAGGACCTCACAGCACTCGGTGGACAGTCACGTCCCTGACTGTGACTATTACAATGAGAGGGCACAAGGGAAAATCAGAAGGGAGAAAGACACACGGAGGCAACGTCCAGAGGAAATAGGGGTGTGTTCGTCTAGTCACATGGGACGGGTTCGGCGCTGAGTTGCGGTGCCCGAGGTTCGTACTGAGGACAGCTGGCGCAGGGATCCTCTGCCTGCACCTGGGACAATTCCAGAGTGTCAGATGGAAAGCAGGTGTTGTACAGCAACAACACTGCTTGTACAAATGGCTTAGGTACACTCAGCTACACTTGATAGTTTGGGACCTGCAGGAACACTCCTGAAATCCACGTTCCCAGACACCAGCCAAGGGCCACCCTAAGAAAGCCTGTCTGAGAGCAGCCCAGGCCCCCTTCTGCACCATCAGTATGACGACAGAGGCCATTAACTAAGACCTGTAAATTGAAAAACAGTATTGCCTCATGCATAACTTGAGGCAATATTCAGCAGGTATCTGGAAATCTTGTAAAACTCAGGAGAGAAGCTCGGCTGTGAGCAATAGCCGGAACTCTAGGACGGGGTCGGGAACACGGGTGCGTGGCTGGTGGGTCTGGTCTGGCTGCCATCCGTTTCTGTACAATCCAACAGCTAAAAATGGTTTTTGACTTCGACATTTTTAAATGGCTGGGAAAAAAAAAAAACGAAGGCCAGTATTTTGTGACACTGAAAATTATTTGAAATTCAAATTTTGGTTTCCACAAATAAAGTTTTATTGGAGCGCAACAACGCTCACCTATTACAGACCATCACACACCCGCAGCACCGTCAGAGCTGAGTCGCTGTGACGGAGACGCAGGAACTGCAAGACCTGAAATACTGACTATCTTGCCATTTACAGGAAAAAGTCTGTGACCCCCAGTCTAGAGGATTATGAAATTGCTTCAAGAGGGCTTGTTTTAGCATGAGAACTCACAAAGGTGAGAACTTATTTGGTGACACAAGCCTTATTCGTCTTTCTTAAGGTAGCCATCAGAAAAAACTGCTTACCAAGAATATCACACATCTTTGTTACACAGCAATGGCTACAAAGAAGAGAAATTCTATATAACTACACATTCTTTTCATCATTACCAAAATATTTATGAATAATCTTGTTCTACTTTTTATTTTATTGGAGGTCTAAGGCATTTGTTTATACCATCCTTTCCACATCTTTATTGCAATCTTTTACTGACCTCATAAAAATCACATTAATAATTGAACTCTCAATATACTTTTTTCCTTTCACTCCACGCTATTTTTAAATGCTTCGCTCACAAACCTCAGAACTCCATCTCTGCGCTTCACAGCCACACTGCAGTCTATCTTAGAGCTCCTCACTGAAAAGTACAAACCATCTCCGAGACCCTAACCTTCTCCTAGCTTAGTCTTCTAGGCAGGCTGGGCCATCCTTCGTTAACTTCCTACAATTTCCAGAGGACAGTGACAAATATTTGTGACATATATACAAAACCATCATTCTACCACTAGCTTCACTGATTACAGTGAGTAACTTCCCTTCCAGCTTTAGGTATTTATTCACTCAACGAATATTCCTTAAGTTCAGCCCTGGGTCTTATATTGTTGAACAAGGAAGAAATAGTTCCCACCTTCATGGAGCTTATATTCTAGAGGGAGTGAAATACAGTAAAGTAACTATTATACAGTTATTTAATTCTAACTGTGTAACTAGAATATGCAAGAAAAAAAAAACAGTGGAGAGAATAGAAGGAGGGGATGTGATAAAATCTCAGTATGAGGAGTTGTCGAGGAAGGCTTCTCTGAGGAAAAATAACCTCCTGGATGAACAGAAGTTATCTCAAGTTCGCTGAAGAGGCAGAAGAAAGAGTGGTCTGGGTGGAAAAGAAAGCAGGTGCTGAGATGAACTCTTTAAAAACTATGTGCCATGTAGTCAAATCAGACGGTTAAACGTTAGACAAAGCCTTCTAATCATGTCTTTCTGGCTGATAAAAGCCCGACCCCAAAAGCTAAATTTAGTGATTGTCTCAACATGCAGTGTCCTCTCAATTCTATGTCTATAAAATGGAAGTTATAGTTAATTAGTGCTTTTATTAAATGTTCTATGTAAAGTGACAAGTTTATCAACACTCTATCAGAAAACTTACATCAACTTTTAAGCAATTTTTTTAGTACTTCTGGAAGCCAACATTTAAAAATATCTTATACTTAGTCTTGGTAAAAACGTTTTCTAAAAAACCAACAAAATAAAAACAAAAAAATATTTTTCCCTGGAGACAAAAAGGGTAGGAAGCTGAACAGCTGGAGATGTTTCCCTGAACAAATTACTTAGCCTCTTTGTCCTCTGCTACTTCATCTGAAAAATTATGAGGTAATTCACTAAATGCAGACATGGATGTAAGGTCCAGTCAAGCTCTGAAAACCCTGACCTACCCAAGGACTTAAATAAAATGCATGTGTTTTACAATAAAAGATGAAATGCATACCATCTACAGTATAAGTCCGGCTAATCAATCATTCTTATGACTTTGGATGAATTACCTTTTCTGAACCTCAATTTATCCCCACAATAAAAAATGTGGTTTGATGAGAATTTATACTGCATTTTCTGAATCTATGATCTTACCAGAAAATAATTTTTAATAATAATCTGAGGTCATTTTCAACATATAAGAAGTATAATACCCAAATACAAATCTAATCAGTACATAGTAGACACATGCTGATAGCAAATCTATGTGAATTTTGTGAACCTACTAAAAAGTGAACTCAATCTAAATATATAAATGGAAGGATATACTTCAACTTACAGCAAGGAGAGGCACTATTTAGCCATACTCTAACTACTCAGGAACACATATATATCTCCATGTCATATTTTTCTTAAATATAAGATCAATAAAAACATAAACATATTTTTGATTAATCTAAGTAAATCCCACCTTAAAACAGTATCAGGCATATAGTGATCGTCAATAATTATATACGAATGATGAAAATGACAGATACTAAATATCTGTGGGTAAAATAAATATATTTCAAGTACTTGAATTCAAAGTACTTATCTGATAAATCAATCTCAGGTTTTCAAAGAGCATAAGCCACTTCCTAGTTGATTTCACTTTAAAAGAAGAAAAAAGAATATGCAGAAATACTGTATATTCAGACTACCCGAAAGAGAATCCACTTATAACAGTGATACACAACTGAATGACTAGTATCAGTACACAGCTCTAAAATGGTCCTTTATGGGGTTAAGGCCCAGGATCCCATAAATCCATTTCTAGGAATCTAAGAAAGCAGAAACACAGACAAAGATGCATGTGTCCACTGGAGTGTTGTTTATGATAGCTGAAACTATAAACTTAAATATCTGAAAACAAGGTGTGCTTAATACATAATCTATTAGCATTGTGTTTATAAAGACTTTTAATGACATGTAAAGCAGATAAATTTTATTCTATCTTTATATATTTCTGTATGATGTATATTATACAGAAGAGGAACTAATATACAATCAACTTGTATTTCTCAAAGACCATTGCATCGACACAATCTAAGATGGCAAATAGAGCCTACTGTAATAATTCAAACAAGAAATGAAATGGGTTTGGGAGCACAAGATAATGCAATGGCACTTGGAGTAAAAAAAAGGGAAAGTTTCAAGAGACACTTAAAAGCAGAAATAACAGGCTGTGGCAACCAACTGGACTCAATTTTAGTTCCACCCACTAATATCACAAACGCAAAAAAGTTTAGGTAATAATAAGGCTAGATGACTCTGAAGCACAATCTGAAGTTTAAAATTACTTTCTATATAACATGTTTAATGTGGAAAATGTCATTCTATACAATATATCAGAAAAAATGTTTTATCTAGAAAGTTCTAATCATCTGCAATATTAACTAATATGGAATATACTCCCTAATGAAGTCATTTAAGTGAGTTACTACTATTGTAAAATTTTCACTGAGAATTATCTCAGGAGGGGCATAATGTGTTTACTTTTTTTCAAAATATTCTAACTTGAAAATGCAAACATGGACTGTTTCGATTGAGTTACCATATCATTTTTATTCTCCATAAAAATGCTGAGTTTCTTCAAGAATGACACAACCAGAATAAGCAGCTCAAAATTGTCCCGATCCAGAGCCTTCACCAGCATGCGGACTATGTTTTTGTTCCTCATCTTCAGCTCCGTGCGTGTGTCCTCGGCGAGATTCAGAAGCAGATAAAGAGCAACTAGAAAAGTAAAGCAGGAGAGTCAAATGACTGGCATAATGAATCCACGATTTAATAAGTCATTTCAACTCAACAAAGTAACAGACATTACCTTCTAAGATAATACATTATTTTGAAATTTTTAATTAACTCATTCATTAAAAAACATTTACTGTTACTGATATAGGTTATATAAACATATATGTAAAATAATTTATTGTGATGCCAAGCACACAATAACCAAAATGACAATGATTTGTACCTTCTTGGGGCTTAGAGTTATTTTAAAAGCAATCAAATGGCAATCAAAGGTAGGTATCAGCAAATAATGAAACAGACAGACAGGGAAAAAGAATTTTATACATAGAAAACAAGGTAAAACTTCAACAAGTAGGGGCTTTTGTGTTAAAAAGAGCTACAATCCAAAGGGTGTCACTGAGTTGAACTTGAGGAAACTAAAAACCATTTTTCACATTCAAACTTATTTTCTGATAGTAACTACAGAATATGGCCATATGAAATTCAGTGATTATAGCTATTACACTAGACAAGGTTGAGGTCACTGTCTGCTAGTTCTAAATAAAATTTCTTTTAGATACATGTAATAAAAATGCTTAGGTTCTCATAAGAAACTCATGTAATTGTTCCTTTTTGACAGATATTTTTCCATTTTGCCTTGACAGACAGGAAGCGCCAGAGTTAAGACGTGGAAGGTTTCTGTCAGTCATGGAGGCTATTACAGTCACTGTGGTCTTTTTGCTCCTATAGCCTTGATTTTACTCATTATTTTGGTATTTCATGTATTCTTCTAACCATCTCTAAACTTTTGTGAGAAGAAATTATGAAAAGAAATGTATATATAAAGATTAACTTTTTTAACAAATATCTGAGATGGAAAGGCAATTCACATCATATAAGCACCTAATGTGTGTCAAGCACTGTATTAGCTGATACACAAACAGTGGCCAATTTTAGGAAAATTTTATGAGGAAAGAAGGACTATATACATTTTACAGATAGGGAACCTGAATTCAGAGAAGTTAAATAACCTCCCCCAGCCACACAGGAAGAAAGTAGTAGAGCTAATTAAGTGCAAGCCCATCAGAAGCCAAAGCTCACACATCACACTACCCAAAGACATCTACAGATTCAATGCCCTGAGATGTGGTACATGTATAACTGGAATATTATTTTCCATAAAAAAAGGAAATCCTGCCATTTGGCCCTAACACAGATGGATCTTGAAGGCATTATACTAAGTGAAATAATCCAACAGAGAAAGACAATTACTCTGTTATCACTTTAATGTGGAATCTATAAATATGTTGAACTCAGAGTAGAATGACAGAAGGAGGCGCTGAGTTGGCGGGGGCAGGGGGGAGGTGGGAAGACTGGCCAAAGGGCAGAGACTGCCAGTCGGTTATGACTGAGTAGGTCCTGGGAGTCTGGTGCACAGTATGGTGACTGGGTTGACAGCACTGCTATCTACTCCAGCGCTGCTATGAGAGAAGACCCTACACGGTCCCACAACAGGTAAATGCAGAGGAGAAGGATGTGTTAACTAACCTTATTGTGATGAGCATTTTGTAAGACATACATATATCAAATCACCACATTGTACACAAAATCAACAGCCAACGACAAAGCAGGATCTGACTGCCTAAAAGCCCCACTTGATTCTCAGGAACTTTTATAAGATTTTACATCTCATCAGTGACTGAGAACTCATCTATTGAACTGTTAAATCTCTCAATAAACCCCAGGAAGAAGATTATTTTTTACTAAATAAGAGAAATATTTTGAAAAAGTTTACATCAATTCCCTAGGAAAACTACAAAATAAGTCACTGTATAAGTACATTAGATTTGAGAGACAAGATTCTTCTTATTGAAAAGGTCACACACTGGACTAAAAGTCCTCTCCTAGTAAACAAATTATAGTAAATAAATAAGTGTATGTACATTTAAGAGCTGAATCGGGCCTTTTGGTGGAAAAATAGGAGAGAGAAATTTTAAAAGTATCCATGCTAATGATGGAAGAATTTATAGCATATTAAAATTAAGAGAACTTCAATCACTGTTATTAGCTCTGCCAATCTGACAGAAAAATGGAACAAAATAAACATCGAGTAAGCACTTCGCAGCCTTCTCGTTGCTTAGGAGGTCATACCTCGTAAGAGCTGCTCCTGTTTCACCACAAGCCCCTGGTATTTTTTAAAGGTTTTTTCATAATCTTTTCTCAAGCTTGGGTTTTCAGGGTCTTCATCAAGTGAACAGCTTAAGTTAAGGATCATCAATACTCAATAAAGCAAAGAAAACCTACAGAAAAACAGTCTGAGGAGGAGCACTATTGAATTTCACGTGTGATGTTATCCAGCTACTTTCTCTACCCAATAGTTTGACTAGAATACTCTTCTCTGCGCCGTGACTGTGTTGTGACAGAACTTCTTAGCCAAGGGTTCAGGATGTGCTTGGAGACAATGGGCGAACATGTCTGCACTTCACAAAGTACTTGAATTCCCAGAAATGGCATTCAAATACTTGATGCATGTGCACAGATTATCAAGTGTGTCCACGAACCACAAAAATTACTACCTTCAAGTACGATTTAGTTAATAAGAATACTGAATTCCACTTCAGGCAAATGCCCAGAAAATTCAAAGGATGTGGGTTAGATCTAAAGCTTTTTAGCATCTCTTCAGACTAGATGCCAAAAGAGAAATATCCCAAAGTCAGAGGTAAACAAAATTTTAAAATTGTATCTGTGGCACCAAACAGTCCCTTGGACACCTGCAGATTTACCCAGTTACTTCGGCCTGACTTCAAGATCCCCAAACACTTAGAAACAGCCCCCTTGTTGAATGCTACTTGCATCAAAACACAAGGAAATTAAGACTTAATTAAAACAGTAATACTTTAGGAGAAATGGCCAAAATTCTGATAGGTCATTTTTATATTCCTGCAATTATCATAATTCATTGATTCTAAAGACACATTTTCCCCATATCTTATCATCTCTAGAATTTGGATGTATCTTATAATCCATGATGTGTGAGAGCTGAATTGGAAATAGTGGTTCAAAAACAATGGTGCATCTTACAGTCAACATTGACTAGTATTTATGAGACTATGGTATGTCCTAAAACGTCAGCTCCTGTCAGCAAACAGTTCACAAAGTACACTGACTGCTGAGGCCCTTCAGTGCCTCCCTCCATGCCCTCTTGCTTAAATGAACTTGGGGTACATTCAGGAGAACTGGGACCCCAGAAGTGATCTAAAGTCTCCAGAATTAGTGAGCTGCCCATGTGTTTAAGTCAGTACCAATCCAGATATCAGATGCTCATAACACACACAGAAAATTTCTAAACCTGGGACGATCCTAATTAATTCAAGTCAAAGCCTCTCTGTGTGAGGGTGCATTTTTAGTGTCTTAGGGGTTCCATGAAGGGAGGTAGAAACATATGATACTGTGCACAATGGGAAAGATATTTACTTTTCAAAAAAGATAAGCAAAAAATTGGGTTCAAATTAAAGTTACCAGTATGGCTTGTTGATCTGCAAAATATGTCATATGAGGACAGGTATGAATAAGCTGGGGCCCTCAAGCTAGAATTAAGCTGTAGAGGCACCATGATAAATATCTTCAAATATAAGAAGTATGATGCTGAAGAACATATTCTTATTCTATACTGCTTCACTATGCAAGATTAGATCCAAGGAACAGAAGTTACTGGGAAGTGGACTTTGTTCAGCACACTAAGCAAAAGAACATAATAATAAACAGAATGCCAAACCAGAGAATGAGGTAAATTAATAAACAGTGACACTGTAAGAGACTGAATAACCCATTTGTAAGGGAAGTTGCAGAAAACATTCTTTCACTGAAAGGTTAAAACAGTTGATTTTTAAAGTCCCTTTCTTTTAAGGTTCACATATAAATTTTCAGGCCCCTCAAATTTATATGTATTAAGAATTTTTGTACTTAATTAGAAAAATAGAATTTTACACTTTACTCATCACCAAAATAACACTCATTCCAATCAAAGTTACCTCATTACACAGATAGACCTACATAAGCGCCAGTAGTGAGCCAGACCTCAGGGAGCCGAAGGAGATCGGGGGTGCAGTGGCGCGGCCATTTGGGGGCTTCCAGTTCAGTTATCTGGGACCATTATTCCACTATTATCTTCCCCCTCTCTTGTCAACTAACGCAAGTTGCAAAGGGATAAAAATTTTATGACAAACAATATCCGGTCTGATAGTTCCAATCTTCATTTTGACCTTCAATACATGCTTGCATTTACCCGAATGTGAACAGCAAACAAACAAAAACGACAAACCATCCCCCCCGTCCAAAACTCATAGGAACAGGCAACGACTCTAAAAGGATATCAGCTTTCTTCTTCTTAGAAAGTTCTTCTTGCCAAAGCTCATGTCTTTTTAATTCATGATCAATGATATTCATGCACAGAGCTCCAATTTTGTAATGAGTGATAAGTCCATGAAACTGAGAAAAGCTTTAAAAAAGAGATTTTGGTATGTATTTAAAGGAACACATTTTAGGTAAACACTGGTATAAACAGTGTGGAAAATAAATTTGACATACATTATTTTAAAAAATGAACACAGCCACAGCACAGTAGACTAGAAGACTTGCAATTGTGAGATTGCAAATCTATTTTAACATACTGCCTTTACCTGAAATGAAATTATTTTTAAGTTAGAAATTAAATAAAATATTTTTTGGTAATTAACCAACACTTTAACATTCAGATACTCTCAAAATAAATTTTCAAACTATCATCTAATGAAACTAATAATGTAACTACTATTATTGAATAAAACTGACACCAGTGAATAAACTAGTATAAAGTATTAGTAACTGGGTTTTGGATGTTTCCTTGACAATTCATTCATCCAAGTATTTATTTGCTAATGCTGGCAGATTTTTAGAATAGAGGAAAGCAATTCTCTAAGAATTGGCTGGAAACCAATTAATTCATAGTATCTCAATAAACATCCTTCTAAAAATGTATGTATATAAATAATATATATGGATACATAACGGGTATGTGTTACATCTGTTATACACACATATATACACGCATGTGTATATAAACAGTAACACTTACTGACACTCTGGGTCAGGCTTTTTTCTAAAAACTATCTGAAGAGGCGCTACTATTCCTATTCATAATTTTCAGGTGAAGAAACTGACACACAGAGAAATTAAGTAATGTAACCAAGGTGCCATAGCCTATAAAACGGCAGGACTTGGATTCAAACCCAGTCTCCTTCCTGAGCCCATGCTCTAAACCTCTACTCCGTTACAGTCTCCCACCACGTGTGTACATGCATGGTGAGCAAAGACTGAATAAAAGAACAGCACAGGGTGGGGAATGGGAGACGGCGTGGGGCCCAGAGACAGCGCGGCAGACACACGAAGACCAAGCAGACCAGGACCCACAAGGCACCCCAGAGCCACAGACGGACACAAAGACAGACGGTACTTCCATTTCCTAGCTCCTGTACTTACCTGGAGAAGCAAAAAAAGACATAAATTATGTTTGTAGCTAACTCAACACTTTGCTTCCAGTCTTCTCTCAGGACTCTTGCTAGAGCACCCAGGGCGGTCTCTACAGAGAAAAGACATTCAAAAGTGACCATTCACCTCACCTCTGGTACAAGTTTAAAATGTCTACTTATCAATAAATAACAAAGCCAAGACACAACTGGGACAGAAAAGTGGGATGCCTCTTTCCAAGCTACAAAGCGCTGTGCAGCCTCCAACAAGAAGTCTGACAACACAAAAAAAGGTGTTGTTCTCAAGTGACAGAAATCAAGGTAACAATGACATCTTTCATATTTTATTTTGGGCAAAAGTACAATCAGGAAACTATGCATTTAATATAACTTTATAGTGGTATTAGGAGAAAAAAAGGTTTTAAAAGCTTTGTATCTTCTTTTTCTTTGCCACCTAACCTAGCACTTCTAATGAAAAGAAAGCAAAGAGCTGGCATCAAATTCAATCTAAATGTATCTTTTTCAGTATTGAAAGAAAACTATTATTATAATTCAAACTAATTTAATAAAAGCTATATATGTATGTGTGCAAATATCTCATCTGATATTGTATCCTAATTGAAAGAAAAATGTCTCCCAGAGTAGAACAGAGCACCATTAATGCTCTTTTTTCCTTGTTTAAATTACATTATTTATGAATTATCTAGAGAATATTTAAATGTTACCATCTCATGTTAAGAAATCTGAGTAAGAATAAAGGTAATAAAGAGCTGGAAAATAAGTGAATTACTAAATTAGCTTTCTCCTCTACCGTGATAAATTTAAAAATCATATTTCACAATAATTTTCCTATTTATATATGATATTTACAGATATAAGATACAGATATCTGTCGTTATTTATAGAAATCAGTCACCATTCAAAAGTAGTTCTTCCAAGTTATCAGGATTTCGAGCAAGCTGTAGGATCAAGGCAGAACCCCGAACCTTGTCAGGAATATCTTCATACAGTAATTCTATGTATTCATCCATGTCATTAATGTTAGCAACTTCATCAATCTGAAAGGTAGAAAGAAGAAAATTCTCCAAAACAACAATGCTCAACAAAGCCACTGTCAAAGGAATAATATTACATGATCAATATACTGCCCTTTATAATAACAGACAAATTTCAAAGGACTCATAGTAGCCATCTTCTTGTATAGGCAAATCAGACCTGTGGGCACTAGGATCCCAACACAAAGTAGTTGTAAACCACAGGATAAAGTAAGATGTACACAAGCTCTAATACTAGTTTATCAACATAAAGTATCTTAACTGCAATGGAAAATAATGTGTATCTACTTCAATGGGTTGGACAACATTTCAAACCATATTGTAATAAGAGTATTTAAAATATTTCAAAACTTACATATCAAAATAAATTATGCCTAAAAAACACGTCCAATAATTTTTGCCCATATTAAACAACAATATTCTACCTATATCGGGAATTTCTAAGTTCAATCATTGTTAATGTGTTTGTATGAATTACTGACAGCAAAAGGCAACACCTTACAATCAGTTCTGTGAGGTCAGAAGGAGATCTTACCTCCATCCCTTCAAAAGGAGGTGGATCTTTAGGCTTGCTTGATTTTTCTTTTTTTTCTGTAAAAAGATATTTTTTCAGTGAGGAAAAGTGTTTTTAAGGGTTTCTTGGTAATTTTATTTTCAGCAGGTTTGTCTAATTCTCGCTAATGCTGGTGATCTTAAAACTGAATAGTTCACAAATAATTTTCTCAAAGTATATAAAAAAAGCTTATCTATAATCCTTCTGCTGAGATTATCAAGGAGAGTATAAATTAATAAAATCTATAAATAATCCGAAAGTTGTATTAGGCAGCAATTTTAACTTTCTCCTTGGTTAACTTTTTGGAGTGTGTACATAGCCAGGCTGGCTGACAAGAAGCAAAGTAGCTTATTTTAAGTTTTCTCTCTTCTCTAATTCAAATTTAAGATCAGAACAGGAAATTCAAAAGGACAAAGAAATATTAATGAGTTGAGTAACAGAAAAACTAAAATGAAAATCAACAAAAATGGAAAAGAAACAACTTGGGTAAAATTAGAAACTAAAAGAATAGTTGCTAATTGATTTTTTTTAAACAAATAACATCAGAATCATAAATTAAAAGGCAAGTCTTTAATATTTGTGTTAATTTAATCCTCATTTGTTCCCAAATAAAAAGGCATCCAAAGGTGCTGAACAGAACCTTGAGCTAGTTTTTATACCAAAGTACTTGATTCATAACAGAATTTCATTGTCTAACAAAAAATTATCAAAATCACTGCACTGATATGGGTCAAAACCTGAACAATGCAGGTATTTTAAATTAAATTCAAGTAGTATCAAATGTTGATTCTATAATTAGCAAACATGTTTTCACATATAATACAGGAATTAACTCTGCTTGTTTTCACAAGTCAGTAGCCATTCTAGGTACAGTTATGCTTTCTCAACAGTTAGATTTTGCCTCAAACCAATAATTTACTATAACAGTGGTTTTAATTAAGCAAAGGAAAAAAGTCACTTCAGGTAAAAGAATTACATAATATCAAGTAAGTACTATTGTTTTGTTTTGATCACTTTTAAGGCAAGGTTTCTAGCTTTGAAATAGTGAATACCAAGTAATAAGGAAGGAAAAATGGAATAGTTAAAAAAATTAACTAATATACAGTACAGAATTTCATATATGTCTTCAAATAATAATATCTATACAGAGAAATATTGACTTGAGTTCATTTGTCCATGTATGATGGCAAAAAATTTCCTCCTATTCCTCTGATTTCTGAGGAGGTAGATGAGAAGAGTTTTCATTAGCTTATAGATATCCTACTACAAATGTCTTTGGAATTACACTAACCTGGCATCAGGGATAACCGATGCCAACTACAGCACACAATCCAGATCGAGAACACAGACATGCTGAAGGGGTACAGGGTTCACTGCGTTCACTTTGAACTTACTCCACCTACTAAAGATGTTCTCTCTCATCATTTATAGACATCTGACCAGGAATATTCTGTCATAACATATTTAGTAAAGATCCTGTTAACATTTTCCTTACAGCACTCATTATTGATAATTAACAGTGTACACTGACTGCTATTTGGAAGCAATCAAGTTCAAAATGCTTATTTTTGCTTTTAAATAAATGTACAGCCATTCAATTCTTCAACAAATATGTATCAATCATATAATGAATATTAGGGACCACATTCAGGGCTAATAAAAGGTATATATTAGGCACAAGGCATTTATTTACTGTAGATGGAGAGAGAAGGCTGATTAATTTGAAAAAAGTCCAAACAAATGTTCTCTCTCATGTTTTCCACTTAGTTTAATCAAAAATTAAGTATTTATGAGTTATTTCAAGGGCACCATATTTTAGAATGCAGCAATGGTAAAAGACAGATAAGTAAACTCAATAAATATGATGAAATGGAATAAATGATCACCCAGTAATCTGAGATGACTTCCCATGTACATATCTTTACTTTTATGTTGTTTCATCTTTGGCTTAGCTGATGTGAAAATGTCTCCTATAATAATCAGTTGCCTGGCTGTGGTAATTCAATGACCTCGTTGGAACGGCAGTGATGGAGGTGTCAGGGAGCGAAAAGGGAACCTTTTCCTAAGAAAGATTCCTGAAGCTTGTATTGTTAGGATAGTCAAAAACATACGACACATATTTTAACATTTCAGTACTTAAGTAATCCATTCAAACGATAAAGTAAATGTCAAAAGAAATTCAGAAAATATAAATCTAGTTGGGATAGAGAAAATAGGGTTTCTGCCCCAAATTCTTTTATTATTCTACAATTAAAATTGGTATGACAGACACTTGCTTCTTTATTCCTTATTTCAGTGTGTGTGTGTGTGCATAATATATAAATATCATTATATATTATATTACACACACATGTATTATATATACACACACACAGTATGAACAGAAGCAGGTCATTCTATGATGAAACACTGACATAAAGCCTAGCATCAGTGAGCTCATGTGCCTGCTTCCCCCTTGTCCATTCACTTACTCACAGCAGGGGCGGACAAACAAAACAAAAACCACCATCCTGACGTCAAAAGCACCAACTTGGTCGGATGACCCTGGCTTTGCTCTCCGAGTCAGAGCAGTGCCACTTGCCTTTTCCTGACAATGAGTCGCGCCGGTTCTGCAGATAGTACAACAGCTGCTCCACCTCACTGAGCTTCGAGGGATGAATGAGCTTACACTCCTCCACCACCTTCCGGGCCAGGGAGCTTATGTCGGTGTTGGCATTGAGACTCTTGAGACGAATGCTGCAAGCACATCGGAATACCCAACTCAGGCACCACGGAGGTAAGCGGTGACTTAATACTTTTTAATAACTTACAAAGCATGTAAATGTCCCTGACACAGACTCTTTCAGTAAAATATAATAAAGTATTAGGTAGAATCAGGATTTGAAAAATGCAAAGCAATGGTTTCCTTTGAGCTGGACAAACGAGATAATAAAAGGAACATAAAATCTCTACAACTCTTCCAGGCAGACAGCTGCTCAAAAGCCTTGTTTTAAAACAATCTTTCTGATGTAATATAAAATGTCGTTAGCCACTGTTGGATGTGAGTATCCGTACTGCCAAATACGAAACATTTTCTTGACCATACTCACAATCACCTAGGTTTTTTTCAGTTAGGAACAAGACACAATATTGTTATTTTTGGATTCAATTATTCTCGTGGAAATTACACCGAAGGCAAAAGGAAAACACAAAGGAATGCATTTTAAGACCTATACTAGAAATTCTGAGGAACAAATGAATGCATTTTATATATATTAGTACATGAAAAAAATAATAAAACAGCTTCTTCCTCCTTTGTAATTTAGTTCAGTCGATACACAGGAAACTCAGTAAGAAAAAGCTGTTCAGAGTCTGGAAAAAATCACCCGTTTACACGGATTCATGGCACCAGAGAGCCGCGGAGACAGAGTCAGGTCCAGGGTGAAGACTCCCCGGTGACAACGGTCTCTGAGGCAGACGCACTCATGCAAGGCTTAACTGTGAAACAGAAACCTAAGAAGGCAGCTGTGTGGAATTATTTCTTGGTGAAGACGCCGATTTTCGGCAAGACCTCAAGGTATCAGAGGGCAGGACAGCCCTGTATTCAGTATCCGTGAGTCACTGTCCAAATGGAGATGATCTCCCCTGAAGTCAGTTGACTAGTAATTTACATAAGATGTCCAGCTGCACAGTCATCCCCAAACTCGGACCTGCTGGGCTTCTACAGGTCACCTAATATAACAGCCTGTAATAAATTCCTTTTATGCCTAAATTTGCTCGAGCAGCTTCTAATGTTTGCAACAAGAATCCCAGCAACACTCTGTCCTTTTATTTTAATTTTCCTTTAATCTGACTGTTGATGCTCCTACTTTTATGTCTTTTAAACTGTTGATTATATTTTTGTATACTTTCAGCTGCATATCAGAAGGCAGAGATAGACAGGAAAGGCCATTCAGAAAAAAACTCTCAAAAGACCTGTTTGATTTTCACAAAGAACTGGGAAATCTTATTAGTTTCCATAAACCTGACGGAGATGAGGCTCAACAGAGCTCCATAAGCACGTATTTTAAAATTTTTTCACTAGTTCTTTTTACAGCAGGCTTAGGTTTACAGAAAAATTGTGCAGAAAGTACATGTTCCCATACATGCCTGCACTGCCCCCAATACAGTTTCTCTTATTATTTGCATCTTGCATTAGAGGTACCTTTGCTATAATCGATGACCCAGTATCATTACATTAACTAAGTCCACAGTTTACATTAGGGTTCATTCCTCGTGTGGTATGGCTCTATGACCTTTGATAAATGCCTCGTGCCATGTGCCCAGCATTACAGTGGCCTACAGAATAGTTCTGCCACCCTGAAAGTGCCCTGGGCTCTGCCTATTCTCACGCCTCCTCCTTGAACTCCTGGCAACCTCTAGCACTTTTACTTTAGTTTGGCCTTTTCTGAAACGTCATAGTCAGAATCACACAGTATGTGGCTTTTCCAGTCCAGCTTCTTTCACTTAGTGATATGCATTTAGGGTCCTCCATGTCTTGTCACAGGTTGGTGGCTATTTTCTTTTCAGCACTGAATAATACTTGGCTTGTTTACCCATCTGCCTACTGAAGGGTATCTTGACTGCTTCCAATTATTGACAATTATAGATAGAGCTATTATAATGTACAAGTTTTGTGTGAATGTAAGTTTTCAACTCATTCAGGTGAACACCTAGGAGCACGATTACTGGAGCACATGGTGGCTGGTGCTCAGTTCTGGGAGACACTGTCAAGCGGCCCTCCTGAGTGGCTACAGCATTCCATGTTCCCACCAGCAGCAAACGTGTCCCTCCTGCCCCACGTCCTCGCCAGCACTGGCTATGCTCAGTGTTTGGGATTTTACCCACCTGATAGGGGCACCCTGGCATCCTGGTTTCATAAATCAGATTGTCCTGCCTTTCTTATATCTGCTTTCTACCAACATTTATATTAGGAGTCTGATTCACCTTCTCTACATCTAAGGTGATAGACAGGTTTTCTTTTAGCATGTAGGTCTTTCTCCTAAATGTTCCCTGACACAAAAGACACAAAACAGGTAGGGCTAGAATTTTTAGAAAATGTCAGATGTATGTCTTTGATTATTCCCATAACCAAAAAACAGAATCTTCATTAAACAGCCCATGCCTGTGAAGAACACCAAAAACTCTTAAGAAAAATACCCACATTATTTTTGGAGAATAACCATCAATTTCTCATAAAGAAATCTTCAGAAAGCCACAAGGTTGAAGATGGGCTTACACATCCTTTAGCCCAGTAAGGGAGAATGAAACACAAGTCTTCTGGAGCCGGGCCGTAGCACTGACTACCCCGATTCAATGGCCATTTCACTTCATACCTACTTCAATCTACAAGCATTCCCCTCAAAGGCCGCACCACAGCTGCGGCCACTGACAAGCCCTTTTGGACTATCAGCAAACCACAGGCTCCTTCTCCCACAGTAAGCTCCTCTTCCAATCTCGTGCAGCCAGGGCCGAGCATCCCAGGCTGAGTCACTCAGGTTTCTCCTTACTGATGTCTGAGTCCACTTACTATGGTCACTGTCAGTAGCGACTCTTTCCAGGTGGCTGATGCTCCAGGGAACATATCCCTTGTCTAGGAAGCCTGCAGATTTTCAAACAATAACCACTTCTCATTGAATTCTCGCTGAGTAAGGCTACTGACTGCATTCTTAAGTTAAAACCTAGACTTCTCATCTGAAATGCGGATGTCTGAGGTTCTAAAGGCAAAGTCCCTGATCTGCTAGCTTTTCTTTGGAAATCAAATCAGTGAGATCTCAAGAGACTTCCATATGTTCTCAGAATGCACAAAGTTCAGGCAGCAATCACAACCACACAAGTGGAAGAGAGAAAATGTGAGAGAAGACGGAAGTGTGGCATGTGGGATAGCATCCAGGTGTGCATGTGTGCACACATGCACGTCTCTTCCATCTACTGGACTATCCAAGGACTCAGTTATTCTTAATGAATTGCCTGTGTGATTTAGTCTCCTAACCCAAAGGAGACAGCTTGAAGAGCTTAATAAGACACCAGGCAGCTTCTCTTTTCGGGTTGCTATACACCAAGTTTCCCAATTAGAGCACTATTAAAATTGGGGGCCAAGTCATTCTTCGTAGGCAGCTATGTGCACACAGGATGTTTAGCAGCACCCTGGCCTCTAGCCACTAGGTGACAACAGCACCCTCTTGTATGACAACCAAAACTAAGTCCAGAATCCCCAAATACCCCCTGGGGGGAATGTCACTGCCAGCTGGCAACCACTGAGATATCCATTAAGGTCCAGCGCTTTTCAGACTATTCCATGAACTCCCAGCATCTTCAATACAGGCATTACACCAAAACTCTACAGTTCTTTTTACCTGGTTCCCAAAACATTTTCTTGAGGGGGAGAATGACCAGGTGATCTCAAACCTTCTTCACTTCCACAAAATTATGGAAAGAAGAAAAGATCATCACAAGTTCAACTGCAGACTAATGAAAATATCTGGCTCCCAGGACGCTCCTGAGAATATTATGAAGTGCAAGGAAAGAGTGTAGGATATTGGGAGAACTAAGGTCAGTTCATCGAGTCAGAAAGTGCTTGTTTTTTACTAACACCTTTCAGAGGACTGGATTTTTAAGAGATGAACTCAAGGTGCTTGTTCCATTTGGCAATTTTGGAAGTTAGACCACTTTCTTCAATTCCAGAGAAGAAAGAACACAGGATACCCTAAATAAATTTCCTAAATTAAGCTAAAAAGTTGCACATAAACATATCTTTTACAATTGACTTCACAAGTTATACTAGTTTATATTCTATTATATGCATTTACAATGGGATAAATCAGAAACAGTATTTTTCAGTAGGTTCCCATTATGTTTATATAAGCATAATTTTCTCTGGAGTAAATATACTTCATATTTATAGTCTCTGCATTAATATAATCTCTGCTTCACTGAGATGAAGTATGTCTAGAATGCCATAATCATTTATCATCTAGGCAGATTTAAATACTATCACATTTCTACAAAGTTTGTATATGGTTTACTACTTTCAAAATTTGCACAAATGAAGAAAACTTACATTTTTTGGCATTCCTTTCGCTCCCCCAACATGGGATCCCCCATTTCTCCAAGAATCGTAGCTTCCACTTCATATTGAACAATGAGCGCCTTTTCTGATGGATGTACATCAATATTTCCTCCTTTAACTTTCCTATAATATAAAATAGGCATAGGTAGATTAAAAACTCACAAATGTTCATGGCGTTTATCTAGTTTCTAGTTCCAAGAACATGTGGGTTAGATTAATATATGCATTTAAATGTCAGATTTACTCTTGACTGGGGCCAAGAAATACTTTTCCTCTTAACTCTGTAAACTGTACTATATACAGAATTCTTGGTCATGAAGGAAATACCTTTATAAATAGGAAAAAATCCAGTTACCCAAATAATTATGCATAAGAGCAAGTGACTGAAACAATTAGGATGGTTTTGGAGAGAATAACCTCAACCAAAAGAAAGCAATTTAAAATCAAAGGCAGTGGCTCCTGATTTGTATTTTAAAAAGTCAACCTCCGCAATAATGCACTAACTGGATTTAAAGTGTTTCTGAATCTCTGAGAAGGCACACTTCACAGTGATATAAACACATGCCTTCCATGACCACAGGTGACGACTGCCACCTTCAGGCACAGCGCTCTTGGCTCCTGAAGCACATCGTGACACTTCTGGATGTCACGAGGTGGGTACCAATGCGGTCTCCGAAGCCGATGACAAATGCTAACGTTATGTTCCACATGCATCACCAATGGTCCACAGAAATAAAAAGTCAACCCGTAGTTTTTCATTGAACAAGTACTTCTGTTAAAGGGATTTACTGCAGCTTCCTGTTCAAGATGGTGACATACAGGATCCTGAACCAACCTCCTTCCACACACCAAATCTATGGGTGCATTTGGGCAATTTCCTCTGCAAAAACACTTACAGTGTCATCAGCAGTGTCCACAGAAGGTAGCCGAGTGACTCCTGCACCTGGGTGGCACATTACACCATAAACCCCACCCCTAGCATGGTGACCCTGAGTTGGGAGGGAACTCACTGACCCAAGCCTCGAGCTGAGCAGTAAAAGGGTCTGAACCCCACATGTGGCACCCAAAGTTCAGGACCTGCACCTGAGAGAAAGCCAGGTGTCCCAAAGCACCCAGCTCTGAAAGCCAACGGGGCCCATGGCCATGAAGCCCACAAGACAGGAAGAGAGGAAGTTCTTCACGGCTAGCGTGGGCAGACGCACCAGCCAGGGCCCGGGGCAGGGCTGACTCAAGAGCAGCCAGACTTGGTGTGAAAGAGGATCATTTGCTCATCTTCAAGGGTTGGCCTCTGGGGCCGGCATCTAATCGAACCACCTGTGGGACTAGAGAGACAGTCTTCAAAGACCTAGGAGCCATCTTAGCACTCTCCTGCCGCACTCCAGCTCACCAGCAGCTTCTAGAAAAGAGCACGTACCCTCGTCTGGCACCCCAACTTTAGGCTGCTGCTCAGGGCTCCCTCTAAGTCACGTGGCTTCGATGGTTCAGGGCTCATGCTCCCAGCTCCCAGGGACTGTAACAAATGAAGAGCTCTTACCCAGCTGCCGTCCCCAGAGAACAGCAGAGAGGCCACAGGCTAAGGCATCCCATCTTTCCATGCACTAGGTCCACTGGCTTATCTCCACAGGTGTGACCTAAGAGGCAGGCCTCTCATTAAATGCAATCTGAGGGCTCACTGTAATTCTCTCCAGGGACCCAGGATGGCAGACACCACAGTTCACTTGCCCTCTGCCACCTTCCAGCATGTCAGCACCTCCTGGAGGGGAGATGGCACACTTGTCTGGTGCCCCAGTGTCTGTGGCTGCCACCAGTGGATACCCCTTGATTGCCTGGCTCTGGTGGCCACTGGGGCTTGTGTTCACGAGCTCAAAGGGACATCAGCAAAGGAAGACATGGTTCTTGAAAGGGTATCTCAATGCGACCCTCCTTAGCCCAGAATGACTCAGGAGACACAGGCCCACGCAAGAGATTTTATTATCTGAAAGAGAGAGGGAGGGGGGG